TCTGTAGCATTTTCCTAACATTATGCATTTCAAATGTAAGTCTGAACTACTGTATATAGTGTCTGAGATCATCAATTCCTCTAGGCTAAGCTCACAAGTCCGACTATTCTTTTTGATGTTTAGTGCTACACCTCCCCCTCTTCAATTTTTCCTCTCTCCAAAATGCATTGTATCCCCTAATGTTGTATTCATCACTATTGCACTATTGTTAGCTGCATTTCTGTGATTCATTTTACATCATAATCACCTGCTAATGCGATAGCTTCTATTGTATTTTGTTTCCAAGTTCCTAGCATTGAAGTGTTAACACTTGGTTCTTTGCTTTTGTTTTTCTTCTCAATCCTTTTTTTTTACTTTACACCCTGTGCACTTTTTGTTTAGAACGTCTTTGTTTTCTTCCCCCCTTCCATTCTAATTTAAGTGTTTTTTTTATTTCACTTCACAAAGATAGCTGTTTCCCATTTCATTTAGATGCAACTGTTCATACCTGTACAAATGATCTTTATCACAGGAAACTTTTCCTTCTTCCCATGTCCTCAACCATATGTTGTTCCAATAAATTTAACGGGAGCTGCAATACTATTTTTAGATTTAAGGGTTAGAAAGAATCAGCATATAAATGCATTTCAAACCACAATAAAAGTAAAATGTACACAGTAAAAACCTCCAATTTATATCACAAAATAGATTAAAGTTCAAGGTATGCACAGTGCCATATTGTGTGATTCAGAATGAGGCAACATGTCATGTGTGATGTGTTACAGCTTTATTATATTGTAAATAAATAAGCTTGTGAATACATATCTTCTATTCCAATAGGAATATATCATTTGATTCCAAGATGGTTTTGGTGGCAAATGCTACTTAGTCTGGATCATTTTGGAATGTTTCTTTGGTGAAATGTCTGCTGCACAACCTGTTCTTATTTGGTCGTACATCAGATTACATTAGTAATGAGCAGGAAGGGCATATTGTAACTGTTGGGAACTCAAATCAGAGTTTGCAACAACACACCACTTTACGGTAATTTCACAAAGTTTGCCTAATTTTACTAATTAGAAATTTGTAAATTCTTTGTATAATGTCAATGAATTTATTTTGTTCAATGAATTTATGAAAGTGGGCCTGCAGTTCCACTTTAGGACCTGAAGTTGATCTTTTTGGCATGGTGCATTTAATATCTATGATAAATATTTTCCAAGGTATTCAATGTGTTTTGAACAATTTGTTGCAGATGGAATGTGTGCTATTCATGTGAATATCATTTGTCCCAACATGGACAACAGCAACTGGTTTGTCACATGCATTTGCTTGGAACCTGTCAACTCTATGGACAATGTTAACCACCTCAGCTCCAGGGAAATAGCCTATTTTATTGTAATCCTGAGAATAGTTTCCAACATCCACTACTTTTCTCCTTTTTTCAGGAATGTCTACATTTGAATTTGAGACCATATTAAATATGAGAGTGATGGCCTTTCAGGACCTGCAATGGGAGCTACTGGGTTTCCAAGTTGATTCCAGATCCTGGAATGGAGAAAATATGTATGGTGATGTGAAGTTATGTGGTAATGTTAGAATGGGCTGCTGAAATTCATTTACTTTTACCATCTGGGACCAGATTTTCTCTCATTTTTGTTTTCTGTGTTGTCTCTCTGAACTTTCATGATGAACTCATTCCTGAGCATTGGATCTTCAGTCTCTTGCAGCCCTTTAAGTTTCTTCAGTTCCTTCTCCAATGCATTCATTTTTTCAAGGAGGTACTGGATTTTTTGGCAATTTCCATAAATGTTGAATAGATCCAGAATGCTTTACATGTTGCATAAGCATGAAAATCACAGACTTAAAAATCATTTTTTGCTAGAAAGTGCACACTGCTTAGGTCCTGATGAAGTTTTCTTTTTTGATGAAAAGAAACAGCTTCTCTGCTTCTCTAGAGCTGTTTAAATGTAATGCCTTGCTGTCTGCAAATGACACCTTATCAATATTGCTTATGACACTTTGGCCTGCAAACGTGGTCTCAGTCATCACACTGTCTTTTTTATACACACAGACTATACATCATAAAACCTTAAGATACGATTTCATTTTTGTTCTTTTTTAAAAAATGGTAAATTTCTGACTACAACCACTGTTATCTGGCATATAATGTAAATACATTCACAAGGCTTGTAAATTCTCCCTGTAGGTAGCCGTCAAATTCTTATTAATTACCTAGTTAATATGATGCGATGTATTTCGGTTTTCAGGCCTTTTATAAATCACTGCATGTAGCTGGTCTTAAGGGGTGAAATCCCAAATTGTGGTGTTGTAATTAGGGAACCACAGGGATTAAAATCACTGCTCTAATTTATATCAATAGTCTTAATGAAGGCATAGTAAATAAACTAGTATATTTTCATACAAATATACAAGAATTAGCAACACTGTAGAAGTTACCCTCAAAGGAAATTGAAAAAGATGTAGATAAAAAATTAAGACTGGGCAAACATCTGGCAGATGACACAAACATGTGCAGAGTGTTACAAATAGCAAAAATAAGCTACAAATATAAAATGGGAAACACAGATCTTAAGTAATAGAAGTGAAAACGACTTTGTTTGACAAAGTGTTCATGTTAACACGTGTTTCTAGACATCATGTGCAAACAATATAAAATGCAACCAAAATACAGAAAAATAAAAGATAAAAGTAGAGGATTTTAATCAAGGGATGATGTTAAAATTCTGTAGTAATATATTTCAACAGTACAGTTTTTGCAAAAAAAATCTAATATACAGTACACCAATATGACACATCAATAGATATATTTTATATAGTACATTTTAGTGAAATGTGTGAAGTCTTTTGTTTTATAAAATGTAAAAATTGTTTTGATGTGTTGATAGTGTTGATAGATTATTCCATATTAATTTGTAAATTGGTATTCAAGACACTTTAATCTGCAATTCACGTTTTCATATCAGAAATGTTGTCAGGTCTCCATGGGCTACCAATATCTTCTACTACATTCTAAACTCCTGTTTTTAAATATGCTAACTTTATCCCTCTCCTTTTTTCCCCTTCTTACTGTAAAGAGCCTTTATAATCTTTTATTAATGATGCTATATGAAATAAAAATAGTATTATTTAATATTATTTCAAATCAATTTATTGAAGTTCAGGTAATTTATAAGCTGTGCTTATTTAGCAGTGATAAATAAATCACACTTAACATAACCCTCCCACTATTTATCTGCTAAATTGAAGTGGCATTTATTTTAAAACACTATTAGGAATTATAACACTTAACAGCTACATAATGTGTAAGCATATTAAGCATTTTATGAAGTTTGTGTTGTAATGTGTGGCGCCTTGAAACACAGTTGCTATTCTTCCTCCTCTTTTCTTGTTATTGTAACTTACCTTGTTTCTGTTTGAGGATATATGCACCAGATTTGTTCCTTAATTTTCTGATAATCTGGTTCAAAACGTGTTTTTGCTGTCTGAAGGACTGAGACAGTGATTGGCCAGGCTTGATCTCACCTTCTACTTACTGATTTAAGGATGGAGAAGTTTTTTCTTGCACATACTGTACTGTATATTTGCAAAGATGGAAGCCATCTGAAGGGCAAGGTGACAAATTGCTGGGTATGCTGATAGGCTTTTTCTTAGGACTGTGCCAGGCATTGTTCATGATATAATACCTTTGCCACTGCACTTTCCTCCAAGTCAATGAGCTCTAACTACAAATCTGTCCGAGCTCTTTCCATGTTGCATTTTTTAAAGGATCTTGACAAATGGCACCCGAAATTCAAGAAGCATTATCTGAATTCCTTCTACAAGCTTTCCATGATTTGAAAGCACTTTCTTTAAGAGTGGAGAGTACAAAACAATTATTTTGTCTTCCTGGACCTCTTTTGCTTAGGAATGTGTGATACACTGATCCTTCAGTTACTTTTACTTTAGTTTGATTTTTTTTTCTGGTAAATAGATATGAACACTTTTTGTCATGGCAGCTATACCAAAGTGAGTTTGTTGAGAATAACGGCGATGCTGCCAACTCACTTAGTTATTCAGTTGTCTTTGGCTGAGGTAAGCCTTACCCCTTTTAATTAATATGTTTAGTAGTTTGTTTCTTCATAACAAAGTAACACTTCAGAGTTGCATCTCTGCTTAGTCATCGAAGAGCTGTACAGGAAGCAACATCTACAAGTTCATTTTCAGATTGCTGAAAAGCATTTTAAATGGCAATGATTTAGGCTTAAAAATTTAACACTGCACATTTGGCTTCATCCTTCATGTTGACTTCCATCTTCAGGAAGTGAGCAACAAAATCTTCCTGGTGCATAATGTAGTGAAATAATGTCTGCACCTCTTGTTTTTCCTGCTATCATGGATGGTGCGCCACCCATCGTGACAGTTTTGTGTTCCTTTCAGTTCAGTGCACGACACACATTATTCAAGATATTAATTCCTCTAGTTATGTTTCAGGACTCTACTTCATAAGAGATTTTAAATTCTGTCACTCCTCAAATGAATATGAGGATTTGAGCAGTATTACTGATGTCACTAGTCTCACCCAATGCTGTGGAAACTACCCCAAGTTTTCCTGCACTATTTTTCAGTTATTTCTGATGAAAGTTATCTATGTCTTCTACTCCCTATGGAATTCATTTTTGACAATCCAATTTCATTAAATGCAGCCTTATTTTTACGAGAATACTATATAAACTGCCTACTATATCACATGCAGAATTTAATAAACTCACCATCATTAAATGATTTGTTCTTCTTCAAAAGCTGTAACCAGAAAGCTTTAATTCCTCCAAAAACCTTCTTGAAAACACCCTGCTGAGCAGTTTCAGCTTCTGCTTTTGCTGATCACCAACAAATGTATTGCAAGAGCTATGACTTGTCCCATAAAGAAGCTTCACATTGTAGCCTTTCATCACAGCCGTCATATGTTTGCAAGTCAGGCGCAATACTTTTTCATCTTTATGGACATTGTTTCCTCATATTTATTCTTCTTATCTCGGATACAACAGTTTGTATTTGCAGCTTTCATGTTTCACCACAATGGCACAAATGAAATTCACAATTGTTTTGCATTGCTTCATACAAAAATCGAAACTGCTATTATGCCTGCACCCTTAAATCACAGCAAACTGTGCATGCTGTGTGTGCATTTCTTCGATATTAAAGCAACAGTAGCACCACAATGGGCACTTCACTTTTAAGCCTTAAACTGACTTCTAATTATGCATATTTTTCCCAAGAGAACATAGAGAACATTTAGAAATGTTTGCAGGACCACAGACATATCACATTACTTAACATATTCACATGAAATGCATTCATTTCCTAAAGACTGCCATCGCAGGCTGCATTTGGCCTATGGGAAGCATTTTAGGATGCCTAGAATTGACTCTTACAACCCTCAAATGCTGTTGAATGTTTTTGGTTTCAAGCATATATGTCTGTGGAAAAATTCACTTCTAAACTGACATTTGTCAGGAACCACAATTACTCGATCAAAGAATAAAGTCCCAGAAAATATTGATATTGAAACTAGGTAAAACCTTTTATGTTGCTCAGCATCGTTGGGCGCTTAAACGATGAGGTAGCATGTAGAGAAGATTTCTTACAGACTTGTTATTGATTCAAAAGAAAAAATCATTAACAAATGTCTTAAGATTAATAAAAAGGGAATGTATTTTAATTGCAAGGTACAAATTTATGTATAGTGTTTCAATAAGATATAAATAAAATTGATTTTTATGTAAAAGAAGTAGAATCTATAACTTATTTGCTTCAAATATATTAATTTCTTAATTAAATGCTACTACTACTGGGAAGGCCGTTATATTTCAATTGAAGTATTTTACTTAAGGCTCTGAATAATTTGTACAATATATTTCTACACTTTGTGAGAAGGCCAAAAAACTATGAAAAGCTTAAAATTGATAATTTTTCATTCCAGTGCTAATGAACATTCAGTAGTATAAAGTCTGTTTATTTGCTGTTTGTTTTATTTAGTGTTCCATCAAAAATTCTTCTAGCATGTTTAAAGATTGTTTGTTTGTTGTGGATTAACAAATCTCGACCAACCAAGTTACAGTGTACAATTTAAAATGATACAAGTGTTTCACAGTTAAGTTCTCCTTTTTTAACCGCCCTGAAAATCTTACAGCACTTCTTTGTTGATATAATGTCAACCAATGAAAGATTCATCGGAATTACAGGGAATAATTCCAAAGTATACAATCCTTTCATTTCGTTTTGTTCTCTCATGGAATACAATAACACATTAAAAACACACTCTGATTATTTAATTCTTAAGGTACCAGTGACTTTATAAGTGGTTCGTTGATGTTTAGAATTCAAGGAATTACTTTTTAATGCAAAAAACAATATAATGTTTCTGATTGTTTCAGCTACAAAATCTACAGTAACTACATTTCAGATATATATTCATTGAATTCATCAAGGTACAACCTATGGTTCACTCTCTCACTGAAGTGTTGCAATCTGAAACTTTAAGCATGTGCAACAAAAGCGGTTGTTTATCATTTTTTATAAACTAAACACAGAAGAATACAACAAGGATGGTATAAACGAAGCTTTGCACAAAAAATAATACTTTCAAATTCTGGAGGATTCAGATAGGAACCTGAAGGATTCCTCTATAGAAAGTAGGTGTCAAGTGTGGCTCTTTGCTAAATATTACTCTGCATGTAAAAATGTGGATTATGTTTTAAATAATAATCTCATATTTCAGATTTTCTTTGACAATGTTCTCATTTCACTGTAGTCTCCCAAAAAAGACCACATATATTAGAAGAATTGTAAACTGAAAACAATTGCTGGTTTAATGTATTTAGGGTTTTGTATGTGAATGTTTTTATCAGTGTCTGAGAAATTGTACACCCTCAGAAAAAGAAGGCATGGGGACATTCCCACAGTTTAAATGACCTTAAATAACTTTTTCACTTCAAACACAATGGTAGGTTCTTTTAAATCTAAAGTGCCAAACAATATTTGTTTTGCTACTATTTTCATCCCGTGAGACGTTTTATCTGAGCGGAGTTTGGAATAGTAAATAAAAATTGAAAGGAAATCAAAAGGAAGTTCCCAAAAGTCTAGGAATACAAACATATTCCTACGTTCCTATACTCCTATTCATATGTTTGCATGTGTATTTTATGTTTGTAATTAGTTATCTTGTTTTCTACATCTATACAAAATAAACAGCATGGCAAAGGTACTGGTATTAGATTAGCTGTGAACAGCACAATGAAGCCCACAGTATTGATGATCTGTTGCCCCCAGGACAACCGCTTAGGGTTTTCAGTTCCTTCTCAAAAACGTTTTTCAAAATGTTTTGGATTAGACAAGTAATCAATGTAGTTTAGTGCATGTTTCCTTAAAAATTAAGAAACTCTATATTTGAGACCCATTAAAACTGTTAATGCTATTATAGTCATGTTAATGTTAATGCTATTATAATGCTAGAACTAGATAAACTAGTTATCTGAATGAGAGATACACACTACTAGCTATCAATGTGTCCACAAGTTTACATTGGAGGTAATCTGTTAAGGCATGATCACACCTCAAAGATATTTTTTCATGGTAACGTGAAGTATGTCATTGATAGTGGTTGTAGGCAGTATAGCCTAACACAAGTCAAAAAAGAAGAAAAAACATTTCCGGATATATAGATTTTCCCTTCAGGGAAATAAAGAAATGAAGCAATTCAATACACTGGCTGCCTGTTTCATTTCAGAGCATGACAAATAAGGTTTTTCACTATTGTGAAGTCACCTTGTAAATGCATGGGAATGAAGTGGGAGCATCTGTAGGTCTTAGACAGACATGTCCCTAAATGATTGTAATGTGCAAACCAAGTTAATTTATTTCTTCAAGAACACGAACAAGTTCAAGAACAAAGGGCAACAAAAGCTCTTTATTTGAAAATAATACTAGTCAACAGAACCGCATATAATACACAAATATGCTATGTCCACATAAAATAAAATGAATAGTTTGAATTATTTTGTTTTGCCTGATTCATTTTTAGACTCATGAGGTATAACTACTCAATCTTACAGCAATCATGATTTACCGTGGGTAACTTTTCTTCCTGAGATGAGGTTCATAATGTTAAAAGTGCACTTACAGTATAAAATCTTAAATCAAATCAGGCAGTTAAAAAATTTAGGGATAAAGGTTAAAAACTCTTGGAGAAGTGACTCCTGAAAATAATTTGTGAAAATGTGGTTTGGAACACTTTTATTTGAAACATTTCATGTTTCCTTGCACTCACTTAGAGAGGACGCGCCGTCTTAAAAGATATTAAGAAATTCGATTGCAAACTACATTGCATTACTCTGATTTTTTTTTTTCAAATGCGTGTTTGTAGTTGCTAAGGAAAGTGTGCAATGACTAAAAAAAAAAAAATGCATTTGATCTTTGCTTGCTGTTATGACACTGCGCAGAGTATCATTCAGGTGCTGCCTACACAGTACTAGTTAAGAAGACACGAACGCCCAGGGTTAACCACCAGCGGAAGCAGAAGCTTCAGCAGTCTTTATTAACTTCACTGACAACTTGCAAGTGTTCTTACCACAACCTTCCTTGGCATAAACAGTGCATCAGCTCATCAGTCCAATCGGACTATGAGGATTCATGTTTACAAAGAAGACTGTTAGTAACACCTGTGCTGTTGTGAAATATTTCCCTCTCTTCTGGTTAACCCATTAGCTCACCGTACATGCGCAGTAAACTGATGAAATGGAATTTTTTCGATTAATACAGATAACTGACAAAGACACTCGATTACTTGGTTTCTACTCTAGCAAGCAAGAGTGCTGTGTTGTTCACATTTGCACATTGCAAATATTTGCAAAGATTCTTTTCAAGATAGGGAATTTTACTCATTATGCAAACAATTCCTTGATTGATTCCTTGATTTCCTCTCAGTTAAGGGCAAACTGAAGAAGTAAGGAAACTATTATTAAATGTCTTAGGGGTACAAGGAGGTTTGCTGTTTTCTGTTTCCTAAACATACTTTCATGCATTGGCTAGGCCTCTTCTCTTAAAAAAAAGAGGAGCAAGTTTTATACAGTAGCATACATGCTGTGAAAGCTGTGCTTGAAACCAGTTGTTGATGTTAAGGCTAAGCACAGAGGATTAAGCTGGAAGGCCTGCACTTTGCTAATACAAAAGGCACATTTTAAACAAAATGTATTCTAACATGTCTTGCTCCTCAATAAAACTTCATTTATGGATGTCAAATGTTTGTGGGACTGACTATAAGTAGTCAAAACATTAGTCTACCTCTCTGAAAAGAAGCAAAAATTAAAAATTCTTTTTTAAGATTTTATTAAGACCTGTACCTCTAACATCATTTCACTAGTTAAAAAAAAGTAGGCAGTAAAAGTGTGTTTTTAAGTCTGTTATTAGTTTGTAATGAATACAATTATCATAATTTAATGGTGAGTTCTCCAGAAGTTGCTCTTGCTTAAGTTTCTGTGTTCCTTTCCTTTGCTGACCTGGTCATGTGATGCTGGAGGGCTTTTCAATTGTGTTTTTTCCTGTCATTATCTGTGCTCAGGACAGCACAGGCAATGTTTATTATAAACAGGCCTTGTGTAAACAGAGCTTAGCATGGAGCATCTGTAGGAACATTACTAAAGCTTATTCAAAACCAGGGGAATGAAGTCATGTTTCTACAACAATATGTAGGTCTTATAGATGAAAGGAAGAATTCACTAACCCTTGTTTTCCACACGTACCAACACTATTTGTCCTGGGAAAAATAGCAAAAGCTAAAATATGTATTAAAAATGTGTTTCTAGAAATAACCATCTTTTTTTTTAAATTGATTCATTTTATCTTCATGCACTCTTTATAAAGCATGTGTTGTTGATTTGAAAGAAAA